AATGCCCCGAGATTCCGGGACTTACAGCGCCTTGCCCGCCGCTGGTTCGTCTGGTCTTATGCTTTCATGTCCATGGCGAACGCTAAAGTATGCAACAGGCCTGCCGTTCGTCTGAACATTCTTCCTCATTCCTGGCTCACTCGGGCATATTGCAGCGGACTGCCCCCGGCAATGTCTCCTTTTGTCCTGCGGACCAATTTCACCGTCAGCCCTTCATCTCCTCAACTGTTCATCCCCTCACCTTGACAATAAAGATGACCGAGGGGACAATCCGCCGACAGCCCGTCAGAGGAGCACTTCCTGCGTTCTCCAAACAACGGCAGGGTGTTAGCACCAAAGTAAAGTACCTTAAGCTAAAGTCCCCTCGGTTGAATTGTCTGCCTTTAGCTTCTCGCAAGCTTCCTTGAGCTTTGGAGTGGTTATGAACTTCCCCGCAATCATCACTCTCCGTGCCATCATTGTTGCGAGCGCGAGCAGCTAGGAGTCGCAAATGCCACTGTAACCTCGAATGCTTATTTCCCAGATCCGCCGTCCAATCGAGCAAAGATCAGAGACAACGTTCTTATGTAAATCCTACGGCACACGGCTACAGCGGGTTCCTGCCAAGTCGTCCCCAATTCCCATCAATCATGCCTTTTCCCTGCTCTTCCTCCACCCGTCCGGAGCGGGACTTGGGCAAACCCTGGTTTCTCGAGCCCTGTCCCTCACCCTTTCCGCTTCACCCTTCGTGATCTATCTCGCGCAGCCACGGCGAGGAAGCCCTGGTCGCCGGCCCATGAAACAATCATTCCGCCAATCAACAAGCTGTTGCAATTTATCACGAGCCCTTGCGAGAGGTAACCTCTCCGGCGGACGCCCGCTCTTGGAAGTTGGAATCCCGCGAAAGAGACCAAGGGGCCTTCAGCACTGAGCATGGCGAGGAATTGTCCCGGCCTCCCAAGATGTGCGCTGGCCGGGTGCCAAGCGCCAAGTCCAGACGAACTGTTCTTGACTTTATAACAAAGTCGATCGCCCTCGTTCTAGAAACCCAGGAGGAGGAGGCTCTCTTGTCCTATGACTGCTTGACCTTATTCCAACTTCGCCCTCTCACTCTCTCTAGTTCGCCAGGCAAGGGCAGCCCCTTTACAGCCAAAATGGCGTTGAACACTCTTCTTCAGGTCTTCTTCTTCACCATCCTTTCCTTCGCCTCCTCTGCTTTGGCCGCCTTCGGCGTTACCACCTCGGGTAGCAACTTCGTTGTCGATGCCGGCTCATCCAACACTCTCGTCTTCCAAGTTTCCAAGTCCAGCTGTGACATCAACTCCATCAAGTACCGTGGCAACGAGCTCCAGTATGCCAGCAAGGGCAGCCACATCAGCTCTGGTCTCGGAACCGCCACCGTCGAGGCCACCACTATCACGGCCAGCACCGGTAAGGTCATCAAGGTGACCTGCACTACCTCGACTCTTACACACTACCTCATTGTCAAGGAGGGTGAGGCCAACATTTACATGGCGACCTACATCACCGCAGAGCCAGACATTGGTGAGCTCCGCTGGATCTCGCGTCTGAACAAGGACACCCTCCCCAGCGAATACCCCTTCGGCGTTGTTTCCACCACCGCCGGCTCTAGCTCCACCGTCGAGGGCTCCGATGTCTTCGTCGTCAGCGGCCAGACCCGATCCAAGTTCTACTCCAGCGAGCGCTTCATCGATGACAAGGTCCGCTGTGTCTACGGTACCAGCCCCGAGGAAATCCACGTCTGCGTCTCCGTCGAGCCCAAGACTGGTTTCGAGCTCTCCTCCGGCGGCCCCTTCTTCCGCGACATCAACACCAACAACGCTGGTGACTCTACCAACCTGTACAACTACATGAACAGCAACCACGCCCAGACCGAGGCCTACCGTATGGGTCTGCACGGCCCTTACGTCCAGTCCTTCTCCCGCTCCGGCATCCCCAAGAACACCGACTTCAACTACGACTTCTTCAGCGAGCTCAGCCTCAAGGGTTACATCGCTGCCTCTGGCCGCGGCACCGTCTCCGGCACCGCCTCCGGCATCACCGGCAGCTTCCAGCGTGTTGTCCACTGGTACAACGCCAACGCCCAGTACTGGACCTACGCCTCGTCCACCGGCGCCTTTACCTCCCCTCTGATGAAGCCCGGCACCTACACCATGGTCCTCTACCAGACCGAGTTCAAGGTGGCCACCAGCTCCGTCACCGTCTCCGCTGGAAAGACTACCACTGCCAACATCGCCAGCACCCTCGCTGCCCGCACCACCCTTTGGAAGATTGGCGAGTACGACGGCCAGCCTACCGGCTTCCGCAACGCCGACAAGCAGCTCCGCATGCACCCCTCTGACAGCCGCATGAGCAGCTGGGGTCCTCTCACCTACACCGTCGGCACATCTGCCGTCAGCGACTTCCCCATGGCAATCTTCACCGCCGTCAACAACCCCGTCACCATCAAGTTCAACCTCGCTTCCGCCCCTGGCGCTGCCACCCTCCGCATCGCCACCACCCTTGCCTTTGCCAGTGGCCGCCCCCAGGCCAAGGTGAACAGCTGGACCGGCCCGGCCCCTGCTGCGCCCACCAAGATTGACTCTCGTGGCGTTACTCGTGGTGCGTACCGCGGCCTCGGCGAGGTCTACGACGTCAGCATCCCTGCCGGCACCCTCGTTTCAGGAGCCAACACCATCACCATCAATGTCATCTCCGGCAGCAGTGGTGACACTTATCTGAGCCCCAGCGTCGTAAGTTTTAACTATAGATCATTTGAATTATAAGTATCTATGCTAACTCATGTCCTAGATCTTCGACACCGTTGAGCTCTTCCAGTAAACGCATGCTGGTTCACATCCGGTATCAAATGCCTACATGTTCCTGCTCGAGATACAGCAGAGTAGGCATTGCATCTGAGATGGAGTTGAGATGCGTAAACAAACACTTCCTTTGAGTCTTCACTGTATATATTGGACCTGTGGTCAACAGCACATATGCTTTCATCGTACATAATTCTGCGAATAGCAGTCTACATACCCGGGTGAGGTGGCCTGCCATCTCACTAGTCAAGATAACTATTCTATCGTCTTGCCATGCATCGAGAGCCTTCATTGCGTCTCCGAGGTGACACAGCAAAGAATACAACAAGCCCAACGCTCCGATATTTCCGTTACCATTCGCTTAGGCGCGGGAATCATCCTCTTTTGACCCTCCACGCCTTTGTACATGCATTGCAATCGAGATGCTTGTTGGGGCGACCAAGTGAGCGAGCAGTAATGCAGTATCGTACAATTGCTCGACTTCCTTCACTCGTTTTCATTTATTGGCTATCCGTGGCCGCTGCTTCGCTTGATGTAATAGGCTGTCGAGGTCTGATTGCATGAGGTCGTTGTAAGTCGTGCGGGGAGTGCCGGTTCTTTGGCTCAATTGTGTCCAGGAAGATGACTCGACCATGAAACGATCGACACTATAGGGAGCGGCACGGGAAGATCTGTCGATATTGCATTGTCAGTGCGGTTGCTCAAAGGCAGAAAATTGATATGTTTCATACCCGGTGGGATACTCTACTAGGCTCTGGCTTGAGCTGGCTTTAGAGTGTGACATATTCGTTAGACTATTTTCCTCGAGAGTTTCAAGGTTTGCGCTCGGTTCGGATCGACTCTGGGGTAGCGGTCGGCCAATTTTGGAGAGAAAAGTACAGGTCTCGGTTTGGTCACGATGCAATTGGCTTTGGTGGTTAGGTTGAGAATTATCCGCAGTTGGATTCGCGATTACGCCTTCCTAACGCTTGCGAATTGAAGGACCAATGTTGCCCTCGTTACTGCCATGACCTTCATCTTACCATCCCGCTCTTATAATACCACCATGATGAATTCGTGAGGCTCAATTGCAGGCTCAATTCCATACCTAAAGACCAAGGGAGGATCGAAGGAGGTTGAATTAGCATCTTCTCGACATTGGCTCCGCTTCTGACATTGAGTAGACGATACACTCCGCCTGCGCAATGGACCAGTTGTTGCCATTATCCAATGGCAGGGCAAATTCGAAGGACCGGCGGCCGGCCTGCGACGGGGCAACCAGAGAACCCTGGCCGATCTAATCTCAACTGAAGCTGGAACGCTTCAGGTCCAGACGATTGTCGACATCCACCAAGTCGCGATGGCGTGCATTAATGGAGTCGCAATGTTGGACAGACGCGATCCTCATAGGGCTGATTGCCAGTTCTGGCAGTCGAACAGGCGCACTGACGGTGCCAGTGCTGGGATATATCGGACGCCTGGGTCGGCGCCCTGAGACGAAGCTTGCTGATCTCGTTCGTAGCTGTTAGGGAAATACCAAGTTTCATGGGACCTTCATGAGCGAGACTGAGCTAATTATAAGTATATCCCTAACAGGCCACACTGGCAGAAACATTGTTTCTGCCTGCCCGCCACTGTCAGAGAAGCAGAACGGCATCTGCCACAAGCAAATCAGAGGTCCAGTTCTTCTAAAGGGGGTATGCTGGCCTGCAGCAAGCTGCGCGCCAGAAATAGGGGAGGCATCCTCGTCCGTCACGCCCGCATTGTCCAATGATAGAAACTTGTTTCTTGCGCCAACGACGGTCGTGGTCATGATCCAATCACAGCCTCCAGCTGAGCCCACCCTTGTTATGCTGAGATGGTTCGCATTCTAAGTACTCCGCATAGTTTGGGGGGCTGAGTCTGGAGGCAACAGCATGACCGAGGGGGAATTACCCTTCTTCGAGTGTCGCATCCCAAGACTCGATTCCATTCGCTTTTCTGTCTTCTTTCATCACTCTCGTTAATCATTTTCAGTGTCTTGTTCTCATCGCCATCATAACGACAAGTGACGGACGGGTTTCGAGAAGGGATTTCTTGAGCAAGGGCAGCCGGAGAACTGAATGTCAAGGCCAACCCAGTAAATCGGGTACAAGTGTCATTCCGGGCTCAGCTTTCGCTGAAGACGCGTCAGCATTTCAGAAGCAGCGACTTCGAGCAGATAAAAGAGTATCAGTCACGATGAGCGACGAGCAGTCGTTCACGGTCGAGATCCCGATCCGACCTCGGGAGCCACGTCACCGGGATTCAACCTTTGCCTCGCATGCCAAAATCGAGGAAGTAGTTCACTCACCACCATTTGAACACCACTTTCGCCTGTCGCAACCTGTGCACCACCAGCAAAAATGTCCCGAGGGCCTGAAGATCATCTCAGGCGTCTATGGGAAGACATTTCGTGACCGGTCGCCGACCTCATCGACCATGAGCTCGACTCATGTCCCCGACTCAGCGACGACCTGTTCAATGCCCATGTCCCCCACCTCATCGACCTTTACAAGGGCTACGACTCCTGATATTAATGGCCCTGAGCGCCTACCAACACCGTTTCTTGCGTCGCGGTCCGGTACGAGCGGACATCGTTACAGAGAATCATGCGACTCGGGATCGACGTTTGTGGACTCCATCATGGGCGAGAGGTTTCCGGCGTATCCGGAATCCATCGGCGCGGGTCACAAGGAGGATCCACTGCCGCGGATGGACATCATCGAGCCGGATGAAGACGAGCAAACTGACTTGCCTCACACGGCGGGCACCCCAAGGTAATTCTTGATCCGTGAGAGCGGTGCTATTCCACATGCGATGCTTATGCCAAGGATAGGCCGCCGTCGCCGGACGAAACGCCCGAGTCACCCCGCGAAGAGCGGGTGCCACCCCGGCCCCTCAATGAGAGGATGAGCTTCGACTCCGGCTCCGATCGTCTCTCGCGTGCATGGGAACCCATCACCCCAACACCCATTGACTTCTCTAACGAAGAAGCCGATGCAGTTCTCGACTATGTCTTGCAAGTCACTTACGGTGTGGAGCTGGAAGAGGTTACCATGCCACCTGCCTTCCTCCGCCATTTCGTCTTCAGATTTATCCAAGACATTGGGAGATTTGCTTTCAATGGATTCCCCGCCGGAACACAACTAACCCACACTCAATCCACGTCGTCTAATGGTTCCTTGCCTCTAGCTCGGAGATCAGGGTCAGGTCGAGGGTCCCAAAACGGCAAGCGCAAGAAGGGCGACACCGGCCGTGCAGATGGGGATGATGATGGCGATGACTTGACGGATGACGATGGAGACTCAAGCGTGCCGTTCAAGAGGGCCAGACAAACACCACGAGAGGCAGAGGGAGATCTTCGACTGAGCTGTCCGTTTCGCAAGAGGAACCCGCATAGGTTCAACGTGAGAGAGCACCATTCGTGTGCAATGACTTACTTCCCCAAGTTTGCCGAGCTGAGGTGAGTACCCGACACTTGGAAGCTCACGAGCTGTGCTCTGACGCTTGCTAGGCAACACATCGTCAAGCAACATAAGCGCAATGACCCTTCATCCTTCATGTGCGACCGCTGCAACCGAGACTTCCCCAGCAAGAAGGATCTCAGGGATCACCAGCGTCTACCAAAGGAGCAGATGTGTGACGTTTCCGACCACGACCCAGAGTCCGGCATCGACGGCCCTACAATGACGAAGCTTCTCAGTAGGAAGCGAGCCAGTGGCATGAGCACTGAGGTTCAATGGAAGGAGATCTGGAACCTGTTGTTCCCTGACGACGATGACTACAGGGTTCAACCTTTCGGTATGCCATATACTCCCGTCCAACACAGTTTTTCCAACCCCAAGGTACTAACGCCGACTAGACTTCTGCCCCGTTATCGAGCATTTTGAACTGCAGAACCAGTTCATGAACAGTCTGAAAGATGTCGAGGATAGCCTGCGAAACAAGGGCATGACTCCCCAAGCGTTGGAGACCATCGGGAACATCTATCGCAATCAGTTCATCCAGGTTATTGAACAGTGCATCGCCAACGCACAGAACATGCCCTATTCGAACCGAAGCAATCGAAAGAATGAGCCATCACCGTCCCGCCTCCTGGCCCCACGCCACTTGACTCGCACTGTCCCTCGTCCAGACTCGGGTGTAGACGTTGACGAGGGTTCGGAAGATAGCCAGTCTGTCGCCATCTTCCCTGGAGGCGGGTTCGACGGGCAGGGTATGCTCGCCCACTCCGACAGTGTTCGAACAGTCAGAAGGGCGTCATCAACCCCGGAAGAGTTCAGAGGCTCTGCCCCGCCAAGGACGCTGCAGCCCCTAATAGAACAGCTGCCCGCATCCGACTTTGGCCTCGGAGGCTCTCCCCCACTGCAGAAGCAGTCACATTCGCAGCAGCAATTGTCTCAGCAGCCGCCAATGTTCGACCAACAGGCGGAACTCATGCCAATGGCAAATGGGATGACGCCGGAGATGGCCGCTCAACTCTGGGGCTACCATGATGGCACCATGGTGCCGACGTCAGGGCCATCACCCAGCAATATGAGCATATATGCGCCAGTGATTGACGCCAATGGGCAGCCCCAATTCCTCGACTGGAACTCGGGACTGCAGGATCATAATGGGATGTACGACTTCTCGGGGTATGTGCCTCGATAGAGTGTGTGTTTGTAAGGAGGAAAAGCCTCGTTGTAAAATTAATGTATGAATGATGGATACGCTATAAGCGGCCATGCGCCGTCATGACTTCAGATGAGGACCGCTGTTGAGGCAACAGCTGGCTGTAACATCGGTGGCGGTACATAATCTTGAGGCCTCAGGTGGTTTACACCTGATTCAAAGAGTTATGTTTGAGATCGGCAACACGCTCAGGTCAGAATCACCAAGTAGATGATAATGTAGTAGACTTTTCGCTTTCATTATCATGGCGCATAGAGTGTGCGGCTACGCTCTACCTCCAAGAGCGGATATTGATCAGCTGAAGAGGAGCAGCTTCCCCATGGGTTGGTGGTCTCAACCGTCCCCAAGTGTTCGTTGATTCAACTTATGCTCTCTATGTCAAACGAAATCACAGCACTTGTGCTGATCAGGACTATTCTTCAGGAAACTCACCGAGTACTCAAGCAGCACAAAACATTGTCTTTTGAATGGTAAAAGTAAGTTAGCGGTGGTGTATGAAGGTGTCTTACATAATCACGAGATGATCCAACCTGTCTCGGCCAAGCGACCCCGCGATTCACCTTGGAATTGCATAATGTCTCAAGTAGCCGTCCAACTACATCTCCCCGCTTCCAATTGTGTTGAAACTACATTGCAGTTTGTCAGTAAAGGCCTTCCTCAATACTGACAAGCCATCGATAACAACTCCTTGCCGCAAGGCGCACCTCCGGCCTGCTGTGCCCATCCGCCGCTTACCCCTCTAACCGCGCCTTCAAAGTTTACGCCCATCGATATGGCCTGGCTTAGTGCTTCATTACGCGCTGGCGAGTCGCGTCTCTATTTTCTCTGCATCTTTTTCGGCATTGGCGCATCTGTCTGGGGGTAAGTTCGTCCTCCACTCCACCTAGCCGACTAAATATGGCGAGCCATCGAAGACACGACATGTCGTTGGGTTTTGATAAGAGAACCGGGGCCCTAAGCCATCTGGTGGTTCCAAGAGCTTAGCGGATCCTAATTACTCAATACAGATACAACATTGGCATACTGTCTTCAGTGATAGTCAGTTCAGGCTGGCGCGAAGCTCTACATCAGCCAACACGCGCTTTAATCGGAACCGTAGTCAGCATCTACTACACTGGAACCTTCATCAGCTATCTCTGCATTTCCCATCCGATTACTGACTGGCTTGGTCGTCGGTATGCCGCCTTGTCGGGAACAGCTTTCGTTTGCCTTGGCGCCATATTGCAAGCCACAAGTGGTGGCGATACAGCTCGCGGCACCATGCTCGCTGGAAGACTCATCAGTGGCGTTGGAGTTGCCGTCGTGTCTACTTCAGTGCCGTTATACCAAGCGTGAGACGTTCTAAGTTCATTTCAATGCGTAGGCGCTGATCGGGTTTCTAGTGAGATATCGCCAGCACACAAGCGCGGCCATTTTGTAACGTTGAACCACGTCGGCTTCATCGCTGGCATAGCGCTGGGTTTCTGGTAAATTAAGACAATGTTGCCTCCATCTGAGAAACCTCTAACAATGACAGGGTTGGATATTTCATGAGATTTTGGTCCTCCGATGCAGGCCTTTTCTATGGCTGGAGACTGACTATCCTCTTGGAGATAATCCCCGCAATGATCTTTGGGCTTGGGTTGCCTTGGGTCCCCGAAACGTCAGTACTCCAATCCAAAGAAGACCGTTTGTACTAACACTGAAAAAGTCCCCGTTGGCTCGTCGAACATGGAAGGAAAGACCAGGCACGCTCGACCCTTCGCTGGCTCCGCGAAGGAAGTTTCGACGACGACGAAATTGAGCATGAATTCTCAGCCATCATCAAGAGCGTCGACGAGTACCATCAATCCGGCAGCAACTGGCTTTCTTTATTCCGACAAAAGCCACTGTTTAATCGTCTCTGGCGAGCGACCCTGCTACAATTCATGGCCTCAAGTTGTGGTGCTACTGCTATTAAATACTTCCTCCCATGGCTATTGGAGCAACATGGCATATTCTCCCATACTGCGTTGCTAATCAGCGCTACCGAATCAACGGTCAAGATAGGTTTCACGGTTCTCGAGATGTTTATCATTGATCGGTTTGGACGGAGGAAATGCCTCGTTGCTGGTTGCATCATCATGGCTTTCTCACTGCTGGTAGGTGAAAGGTTACGGGAACCCATGTGCAAGGACTGCAATTGCTGACAAGCTTCTCTCAGATCAATGGAGCCGTGCCTCTTCTAGACCCTCAGCGTAAAAGCCCAGCCACCGATATAATCTGCGTAGCCTTCATCTTTGTATATGTCATTGGCTTCTCTCTGGGATTTGGGCCAACGGCATGGGTATACAACACAGAGGTACCCCTCGATGATGCCCTCTTCCGTGCCTTGAGACAACCACTGACCTCGACATGACTATAGATCTTTCCCACCTCGGTACGAGCACGAGGCTTGAATTTCGCCTCCGCTGGTGCCTCTGTCGGTTCTTCTATCGTCACCATGGTGTGGTCCGCGGGCATCGGATATATGGGTAGTAACATCTACTTCATATTCATGGTCGTGAACATTATCTGCATTCCGGTATGAAAACCTCGGACTTATTGCCTATGAAATCCCTAAACGCTAATCAGTGCTATAGGCCATATATGCGTTCTTTCCCGAAACCAAGGGTCGGGAGCTGGAGGACATGGACGCGCTCTTCGGTGCCATTGAAACAAGACGGAGTGATTTCGATAGTAGGTCGAAGCCCCCTGTCTTCCATCACACTGATTTCCTGACCAATTGATAGATCTCTCTGAACATCTCTTGCAAGATGATGCTCCTTTCCGCGATTCCGTAGAATCGGCGACTGGTATAAACAGAGAGCAGGATCGTGATTAAACTCAGACAACGATCTTGTCCCCGGATGACGAGACACTGCCTATGGTCTTCCTTGTCATGCGAGTTTTGCATCAAGAAACGTTGATCACGAGACATTCATTCTTGGTCCATGCTCACTCAATTTAAATCAAGATAAATAAAATGCATATCAACTAGCCGCACCAGCTGGAACCTATGCGGCACTGTCGCAATCGTATCTCTTGTTTCAAGTATGCTGATGGGCTACTCCGTTGAAGGCTATATAATTGGGTACATCGTATGCCAGACTAGGAATTCATCTTTTTATCCAGGCAGCCCCCTATGGAGATTCAGGCTAATTATGAGAACAATGTATGATAACTTGGCGATGGTCATCTCATTACTACGCCTCTTCGGCTGCGTGTGGTGGATGATACGATGATCACAGCCTGAATTCACACAGTCTGTGGATAAATATGGAGCAAGGACATTTAGCTTGTCACAGATGGACTTCAGTTATGCGATTGGTTATCTTGAAGTTGGTCTGCACGGCTTTCCTTCTGCAAGCAATGAGTTGTACCTGTCTCAAGACTTGACGAGCATGAAGAGTTCACCCTCCGCGGTGTTGTCACTGGCCACAAACAACCTCGAGAATTCCTTGTCAAAGACAATGCCGGAAGGTCTAAAACAGGTCGACCCCGTGCAGCTTCCGACGTTTGTGCTCCAAAATACATCAGTATAACCAGTCTTAGAGTCTGGAGCGGCAACCGGATCATATACACCATAGGTAAGCTGAGTGAACGGCACCACAGACACCTTGAATCCCGTAGCAGGTGACCTGTTCCACGAGCCATGCATCGTGACGTACAGGTTTTGGAACGCGCTGTCGAAAACGGCGCCTATGGGCGCACTATGTGCTTGGATCGAAAGTCTGGGTGCCACAGAGCGTTGAGTGCAAGTATCGTCGTTGAAGGTGCCGTTGGGAGCGACGACGAACTGCTGCCCGACCTTGAAGGTCTTGTCCTTGATGACGGACGGCTCCCAGACAGTGAAGCAGGTCGGGTACCCGTACCACTGGTCGTTCGGTTGAGAAGGATCGCCAACTTAGACGAGTTGTGAGTTGTCTTGGATTGTTTGACTGGAGAATATGGCGACTTACGGAAGTTCAGCTCTTCTGCTGGGTTGTCGTTGTGGATGTCGTAGCTCTGGCCGTTGACTGTGCGGGCGAAGTCGTCACCGCTGTTTTCCACTCCCCAAATCCTTTAACAATTACTGTCAGCTTACATGTGTTTACCGACATAAGAAAGAACAAAAGGACAAGTTGGGACGTACGCATTGTTTCCGTCCGCTGCGAGGGCTACTTCGTTGCGCAGGCCCCATCCAAGAAACCACCCCTGAGAGGCGTATGTATAACCGCCGGATGGCACACTGCGCATGTCAAACACCTTGACTACAGCACGTGCCACTGCCTTGTTGAGTGATTCATAGTCAAAATTGCTGTAAGAGCCTTGCTGGATGACGAGCAGATGCGGCGTTGCCGGCGGAATGACGAGGTTGCGTGTTGGGTGACCTCCCTGCTGCATTCCCTTGACGACAACAGTCTGCGCACTCACGCTTTGAGCTTTTGCGTCGTAGACATAAGACCATGCGGTAGTCATGGAGGTGACGTACAACGTCTTACCATCAGGCGTCAAGCCGATGCCATGGTTTAGCGAGGGGTTGCTGATCAGGGTCTTTGTGGAAGAGATGCAGCCGTCGGCCCCAAAGGTGTGAACCGTGACACCTTTGCCCGATTGTACGACGAGTAAATTGCCCTCGGAGTCAACGACCAATTCGCGAGGGCCTGTCAGAGATCCAGCAAGCTTAACGGCCTTCCAGCCACTCGCAGTTTGGTATCCGAATCTGAAGGCGCTGACGCCAGAGCACGAGTTGGGAACTGGAGACACAGGGGCGCTGTACACGATGGAGGACGATGTAGAAGTGGAACGCGGAGATGAGACAGTGGCCGTTACGCTGCTGAGTGAAACGCCTGTCCTGGTGAAATTGGTCTTGGGAGTCGTGGTACTATGCAAAGTGGATGTCGACAAGGTGGTCAGCAGCGCTGTTTTGGTAACGGCGCTGGTCGGACCTTCGCCTTCAGAATTGCCCGCTGCCCAAGATTCAAAATTGACTGCCTGAGCCGGTCGGAAGTTGTGCATCCAGTGTCCTGCGCGCTCGTGGATGCCGAAAGTTGTGTCGTTGGCAGTCGGGTCATCAACTGGCACGCCAGAGTAAGCAAACGCCAAGTAGTTTTCTCCGTTGGGGTCCAAAGATGTTGGATCGTTTCCATATGGTGCCCAGTATGTACAACCTCGGCATAGAGCCGTGGCGGAGTAATGCGTATCATTGACGACAGTGCCGGGGAGAACGGTGTACTCGGCATCTTCGTAAGGTGGAGGAGTGAAGTAGCCACTAGTAATTGTCAGTGATCAAGCGGTTTCCATGGAACGAATTGGGTTATTACAATGCCATTCGAGAAGAGACGACCACGTCTTTGCCATTGACCCATACGATTGTTAAGGGATTGTATGTCATAGAGCCGCCCCAGGCTAAGGCAGCCCATCCTACCTCGATGGGGGCAGTGATCCGAACAATGGCTTCATATGGTTGACCCGTCGCAGGCCCTTCAGGTATGGCTATGCCGTAAGTAATGCCGCCTGCGTTGGTATAAGAAGCGAAGCAACGCCCTAGACTGTCGCAGTATGTTGACTGGTCTTGGGCGATGGCTACTGTCCTATGAATTAGTACAAGCCCCTAAGATACGAGTGGTAATAAAACCTACCCGAGTTAATGAGCGCCACAGCACTGAGTGCAGTGGTAAACCAACGCATGATCTCTGCCGGTCGATTCACTCTCTCGTCTTCAAATAAGGCCTTGGTAATATGGGAACATTCTGATGAGGATGATGACTCTCTAGGAGCGGGTTTGAAGTCTTTAAGTGGAGTCCAGCCGAAGGCTAACGCCAGCATTTGCCATAATCAACGGTGGTTCGGAGCAATCACCCATTCATCCATGTCGACTTGCGTAGCGACGAAAGAGGAAGTCATGTCGTATGGAAATAGTAGACAGATATGAGACCAAACACTCCGGGTGCAACAACATTGTCACAAAATATGGTACGAGAAGGGAAGGGGAAGATGGTTGCCAATATGAAGATCTGAAAGCCATTTATTTGCCAAGGCGGATGAATGCTCTCGAGACGCCGGTCATGATTCTTTACCATAGAGGGGAAAACGGGTTGGAAACGAAGGCGGCCATATAGCGCCATTTGAAGATTGGAACCCAAACGCCATGAATAGCGACGATCTGATCATCGCGGGCAATCATTCGGGAGATGGAGGCCACACCGATGGGTGGAAAGTTGCCTACAGGCCTTACATTAGGAGGGGCAGCAGGTAGGTATCGACTCTCGAAAGAGTACCAAGTGATGGGTGAGAGATTATAGCATAGGTCCCAAGCAGACACTTGTCTCGGAGTTCAAATTAGGTAGGCCACTGAGTAAACGGCGAGGGGGTAGATTCTCCATAGGGGCGGCTGACCGGCTGATCAAAGGGTCGGACGAGGGATGGTGGACAGCCAATATGAGTCAGACTCGTAGAGTAACATTGGTGCCATTACTGTTGGAACGAGACAATAAATTGATGCAGAACAAGTAGAGCCTGAAGGAAGCGAGGCTGTGAAAGGCCACTTGGGTGGTTGATAGGGAGAAGTGAGGTGATGTATTTAGAGCTCACTTGGCAGGATCTTCAGGCTAATTGCCGTCCAGTGCGAGTAGATCGATTTGTAATCGATACCATGCATTACCTGACAGAGTATTAGCCAAAATCCAAAAGAGTGCAGGCAATTCAAGATACCACGATATGGTTACCCGGAGACTGATGGACTCATCACTGGACGACGAGATCCGGGCAGAATTTGGAAACAAATCCGCGTTGCTAGAGACATTTCACTATGCCAGGGTTTCCCCGGAGTCAGCCGGTCAAATAGACACCATTGGTGTTATTGAAAGAAATCTCAAGAGAGGAAAAATTTGAAAATATTGCAACTGGAAGATGACCGGGAGCTCCACGGATTACGTGTTGTGTGGTTCATCGTGATTAGGTACCTTGAGATGAAGTACGATGCGAACCTGAGGTGCCGGTAATCGATAAGACCAGAGATAAGATAAGATTGGTAGTGGTATCAGAATCATCAGGGCACGCTGCTCGTCCCGGAAGAACAAGCGACCCCTCTTGGCCTGCAGCAATGCGAAGGAGCAGGTGCGGCAGGCGCTGGTGGCCTGTTGAGAATCAAGATCGAATTTACCCATCTTCTGTTTCCTGCAAACCCCCAGCGGTGCTTGTCTTCCTCCATCGTCCCCTCTACAAATCCACCCATTGTCATATTTCGATCGTCACAGCCATCTTGTTCCAGATGCAGCAACTCTTTCCATTTGTCTTAGGTCCAGGTACCTACCTACCTCGGCCCTCACCGCAAACATGGCAAGGTAGTCCCAGAAGCCCCGACACCCCAGCTTCCCCTCCAGAACCCCGCGCGTCACGCTGAGCCCCCACAATGTCACTGATATGGCCGGTCTTCACGAAGCTCGTGGCATGTCCATGCAACTCGAGAAAGATGTATCAAGTTGAATCTGTGGTTACTGAGATAGACCTCATCACTTAGTATGCTACCCCCCAAAGTCTCTAGCTATGGTCATGGCCACGAAATCAAGCTACCCATCAACCAAGTCACCATACCATGAACCTCATCTCAGCATTTTAGAGTTGAGCTCCGCGTCAGTCTATTCGGTCCTATCCGGAGCGACCAGAACAAGACCAGTCCGATTTCAGAAAGTCCCCAAAGAGAAAAGGAAGAAAGACTCCCCCACCTTTCCGGCGGGGCAAATCGCATTCGGGCATTCAGGCACGCGGGGGAACCCTGACTATCAATCATTGACGTGCTCGACTCGATGTCTTTTGAGCCGCCGGGCCTTGTGTACCATTCGTCACGGCCAGCAACGATAGCTTTTGCAGCAGGTCTCTACTAGCGAGCAGTCGATCGAAGCTACATGTTACCAATTCTCTTTCTCATTCGAAGCTAAATCTCGGTTCCTATCTATAGAGCGCAGAATACCACCCCCGAAATGGCGGCCCCACGCACAACCACAACCCGGCCGCTGTCCGCCGTCCTGCCGCCTCTGATCCTCGGCACCGCGACCTTCAACTACCAATACGTCTCGGACCCTTCGCGCATGCCCTCCGTCGACATCGTCTCCCGCTCCCTATCACTCGGCGTAAACGCATTCGACACTTCCCCATACTACGGGCCCTCCGAGACCATCCTCGGCGCCGCCCTACGCACCCTCTCACCGCCCCGCGACTCCTACTTCCTCGTCACAAAGGCTGGCCGCATCGCCCCGACCGAGTTCGACTACTCCCCGGCCTGGATACGCGCCTCCGTCCTCCGCAGCCTCGAGCGTCTCAATACCACCTACCTAGACCTGGTCTATACCCACGACGCAGAATTCGTCACCCCCGACCAGGTCGTCGCCGCTGTCCGCGAGCTGCGCCGCCTCCGCGATGAGGGCCTAGTCCGTTATGTCGGTATCTGCGGCTATCCCGTTCCCGTCCTCTGCGAGCTTGCTGAAAGGATCCTCCGCGAAACGGGCGAACCCGTCGACGCTGTCCAATCTTTTTCGCACTTCTGCATCCAGAACGATACCCTCGGTAGCGACGCGATCCTCACACGGCTGAAAGATGCCGGCGTCGGTGTCGTGACCAACGCGAGCATGCTGAGCATGGGTCTGCTCACCACCCGCGGCGTTGATGATGGGCCCATGGCGAGCTGGCATCCGGCTCCGAGTCCCCTACGCAAGCTATGCAAGAGCCTGGTTGGAATCGCCGAGGGCGCGGACGAAAAGATGGAAGAGCTCGCTCTGTACTGGGCCATGGCGAACTGGGCACGTGTAGGAAGTGCCTTTGGCAGCGAGCTGTTGCCGCCCACGTACAACGGCCCTGCCAAGGTTGGTGTTAGCGTCATGGGTGTCACGTCCGTGTCGGAACTGGAAGAGACGTTCCTTGCCTGGCAGGGCATGATGCGCGAGCTTGCGGCCCAGAGTGACCAGTCAAATCCCGCCGGTGCCCAAGCCAGTCGACTTGACAAGATTCAGCGTTTGGTCACGGAACAAATGTGGCCGGCCTTGGGCGAATGGCGGAATTACAGCTGGGCCAGTCCTGGCGAAGATTTTGTCAACCAACCTTCCGTCGCCGCCATCGATGCTGCCCTTCCTGCTGTCGCTCCCGCCGCCGCCGCCGCCGAGCCACACTTGTAACCCTGGCAGGAACCCATTCCTTTGCAAGCAAGCTGGGCATGGGAGGTCAAATTTTCGAGACATCGAGTAACAAGGGAGGGCGAAATATTTCCATGAATAAGTGGTATTTGTCAAGCAGTTCGAGACTATAAACATCTCGGCCGCTTTTCTCACATACCTATAAAAGGTAGGCCGGGTAGAGTACAGTGAGCGCTGGCCATTCACATGGCGAAAAAGCGAATAGATGAAATAAAAAGAAAGAATCACGTCTAATGACCTCCTCCCCCAAAGTTCACGCTGAACGCCTTGAGTTTCTTGGGGTTCCCAACCCCCAGAGTGTATGCAAAACTCTTCCTCCCATGTAGCCGTTGCCATCAAATATGGCATCATCATATTTTGCAATCATCCCGTCGTCATGCCCGTCGATCCGCACTCCACTTACTGCGTTACTCCAGTCGAACTCTCCACAATGCTTTCATGGCCCAATCTCTTCGACTCAGCAGCCTCATCCGAGATAGGAGCCGGGGTCTCGGGTGTTATTGTCACTTCCGGTGTCAATGCTCCACTGCCAAGCAAAGGAGAGACGTCGCCTTTGCCGGCGCCGTCGACGGGCTCTTCGGGAATCGTTGGAGGTGGCTTCAATGTGCCGACGTTTGTCTGCACGGGCTCCTCACTGTGTGCGTCCTCCATGTGTTCCGCTTCCGGTTCGTCTTCCGCTTCGGCCTTCTTGCTCGTAGTTGCAGTCCGGCCCTCGCCTGAGGCGATATCCTGGTCATGGTTGGCCTCGCCATTTTCAATGTCAACGCCGACCATCTCTGCCAGGCTCCGAAAGTTGAACATGGGCTCCGTATTGTCTCGGTCACCTTCTTCGCTTCTATTGCCGACGCTCAGCTCGCTGGCTCGAGGATCCAGGTACGCCTGGTTGCTATAGCTGCCAGCTGCGCTATCAGCCAGAGATGATGAGATGGAAGATGCATTGCTCATCTGCCTCAAGTGAGAAGGCCCGCGGCTAGTCGTCGGGATCGGTAATGAGGGCGTGGTAGATGTGCTTTGGAAGCTGCTCTCGGATGACTGCGTCTCAACTGCCGGACGTTCTACAGCTTTGCCTTTCGAACTTGGTGCCGAGCTGGGTGCCGAGGTGGGAGAAAGGGTATTGCCAATCGGTGTTGAGGAAGCCACTGGAGAAGTCTCCGCGCTGGGTCCTGCGGAAGTCGTCTGCGCACCCTGAAGCGTGGCCTCCACACGCAAGTTGCTGGTTGTGCTATTCCCTCTGCGTCGTCCAAGGCCAAGGGAGAGGCTGCTACCACTAGCAGAGCTCTGACCAGGCCCATAGACGCTCTGCCGGTCCTGCTTCTTGAGAGCTTTACGCTCTTCCTTGTCCCTCTTTTTGGCCTCCTTTCGCTCCGCCTTTTCTTGTTTGCGTTTTCGCTCTTCCTCGGCGGCGAGAGAAAGACGGACGGCTTCCATGAACATCATATCTTCCAGCTCCTCCATCCGACTTCTCCTATTTTCCAGAGCTCCGCGCCCAGAGGAGCTTCGTGGTCCAGGCTCTGGTCCAGCTGGGGCAGCTTCACCCTCGGGGTTGCGATGGGGGCTTTCTTCCGGCTGTGGGTTGGATGGTCCAGAGGGGGTGCGACTCCCGGTGTTTCTCCGACTGAAACGCCCGGGCCGTGTGAAGGCGAAGCCGCGCTGCTGTTCGTTGTTTCCCATGAGGAAGGCCGCAGTGTGCAAAGCAGTTGCCGCTGCAGCTCTGCGTGCTTGGTGTGCTCGTTGTGCTGCGAGTTTGGTCGACCAATCCGGTCGAACCCGATCAGTAGTGACAACATTTGGGGCGTTGGCGGACAAGCTTTGAGCTCGCCGCCTCCCAGATGTTGGAGAGGTAGGCGACAAAGTGGAGTTCAAAGAGCTCTGAGATGACATGGCGGTATTTTGTGACGGGTATCCAATGGCATAAGATAGACCTCGTCGGAAAGGGGGAGCGTCATAGGTTACACCGAATTCGGTCTGCTGGCAGTAGGGGCACTGCGCGGGCTCGGATATTAGCATTTCTGGAGCTTCCTCCGGGTTGGTCGGATTCGCAGACTGCTCGGTCGGTTCGCCGTGATGCTCGGGATGGTGCGGATCGGCGCGCTTGATCTGCACGAAACATTCGCTACAGATGGGCTGATCGCAGCAACGGGTGCGATTCAGGTAGGGAGGATAGGTTAGGAAACAAATGGGACATTCGGTAGCATCCTTGTACAGGAAAACCTCTAATGGCTGTCCGTTGACCAAGGGGTCGTTGGGCAACTTGATCTCACGGGGCGCAACGTCGTTTGACGAGTTGCTGCGTGAGCCCCCGCTCAAGGCTGCTGCAAGGGCTTTTGCCCGAGGCTTGAACGGTGAGCTACTCCGCTGCTGGGCTGCGTTGGGCGACGATATTCCAGAGCCCGGCATTGAGCTACTACGATCCGATCCAACTGACAAAGATCTCGGGCCCATTGGAACAGTGAGATTGGCAAGGTTCTGGGATGACTCGGTGGGAGAGGCGGGCATATTGGACTGGGGAATGAACTCGGGTGGAGGTTGTTCATCGGCGGCCGGGATAGGAAGGCCGCGACCGGCGCAGATGAGCTGATATTCGGTCCAGTTGTCGGAGTAGTCATTGAGACCTCTCCAGAATGGTGCAAGCCGTCTTTCAATCTGCGGGACCACAACTGTTAACCTTTGCAACCAAAGCATGAGGATATTCGGAAACCATCTTACCTGCAATTGCCGCACGACGGGCTTGCTAAAGTCTTCGGGACCAGTGTATGTACCAAGAGTCACAAGGTATCCGCCATCGATGTGCTCCTCTTTCAGACTCCGCTCACGTTCCTTTTCTCTCGCGACGCGGTCCCTCTCAAGTCGCCGGGCTTCCCGTTCCTGCCTCGTCTCCCTCCGCTCGTACGGCGCATCTTCTCTGCCTGCAGCACTTGAAGATCCGGCGGCTCCTAGGCCAAGGAGATTTAGGTCGGCTCTACTAAAGCGGCTTTGCCTCCGTGAGCTGGCATGATCGTTTGCGGCTTCTCTGGAGGTGGAGTGATTGAGGTAGGCGGCCTGGCTTTGCCTGTAGTCGGTCGCCGGGTCAATCGGACGAGATTCTTTGGTGCTACTGTTGCCCATATTGGTTATCGATAGTGTGGCCGAGCGGTGTTGCTTGAGGGTTCGTCGAGTGTGGGCTCTCTCGAAGTGGACAGAGCGACGACGGGTGATCGATGACCCGGTTCAATCAGAATAACGATTGCAAGTACAACTGCGGTGGACCAGTGTCAGCCACGGCGGTAGACTATGCAGTGAGAGGTGGTCCGGCCAAGATGAGTCCGGTAGAGAGTGTTGTGGTTGTTGTTGGTGTAGTCGATGTATGGTCGCAGTGTTGTCGATGCTGGGTGAAGTACCGTCGCAATATGGTTGGGGATGAACCGAGTGTAATCAACAACGCATCCTTCAGACGAAGTGGCAGAGAGCTGCAAGCATTGTCGAGAATGGTGAGGGGAGGCAGATGGTGCTATTGATCGTCGGAGGCGGATAAGAGGTAGTAAGGTGTACCTATGCGAATGGGCGCGATGGGTTGATGGCGGGCGGTGATATCGGGGATGGTGATGATGGACGGATGGTGTTGGCGGTGCAGGGTGACGGTCCAGGGGTCGCAGTCAGCGGATGTTGTGTTTGGGTGGGTAGGTGGTGGTGGTGGTGGTGGTGGTGGTGCTGGGCTTGGGGATCTGGGACCGGACGGGCGTGTCGGGTCGGGGAAGCTTGTGACGACGTGGATGTCGTACGTGCGTGGCTGGGCACTGGGCACTGGGCACTGGATGCTGGGCGAGCCAAGATGTGAAGGTTTCCAAGCGTATGGAGACGGGCTTCGCAAGAGGACGCAGAGCGACTCTACAGTACCTTGAGTCAGGCCGGTGGAAGGATAAAGGGATGAGTGAATGTGTTGCCAAGATGGCAAATGGGGAGATGCAAAAGCAAAAGAGATGAGAGTGTGAGGTGGTCGTTGGAGGGACGAGCAACAGATGCTTAAGGGAAGGTGGGAAAGTTGTCGGGCGCAGAGGGCCGGGGGGGGCGCGGTTACGGTTGTCGGGTGCAGTGGAGAGCAAGGTTCCCAATGATGCAGGAGTGCCAGGTAAGGAACCTAGGTACCTAAGGTAAGGTACCTATTCGTAAGGAGGAAAGGTACCTTAGTTCAGCAAGGTGTAAGGTAAGGTAGGTAAGGTAGGTAGGTAGGTAAGGTAAGGTAACCAACCTGCTGAGGTACCTTGTGGGTTAGCAGCGACGGGAGACAACAAAAGTCAAGTGGCCTCTATGCTGTAGGACTGCTCATGATACTATTTGATTCATACAAATGTAAAACATTTCAAGCCGAATGACAGATGAAGAAGAAAGGCCGATTGTTGCTACTCATTCTACCAGTATACCGGAACCTACATACCTACTTGGATGGTACCTTATTGGCTGACTTCCGTTTTACCTTGGGCACCTCACCTTAGGTAAGTACCCAGGCACGTAGGTAAGCGTGGTAAGGTGGTAGGCACGTAAGGTAAGGTGAGGTAAGGTAAGGTAGCTGTCGCCGATGTTGCCAAGGGAGATGTGACGTCTGACGTTGTATCCGTACTCAAGCTGTCAAAACGGAAAGAAAGAAGAGGGAGAACTGGAGAAAGTGGAAAAGGATACCTAGCAAAATTGTGCAAGTGAGGTAAGGTGGGCGGGTGTACGAGGCCGAGAATCAAGGCAGACAGGGTCCAACAGAGGGAAATCGGATCCCAGTGTGGAGAGGCCGGTAAGGTGCAGTACCTTAGGCGAGTGTGCGGCGCGAGGTTACCTTGGATTGTTTCCAATGGGTAAGGTAGAAGCATCGGGCGGTTAAGTTATGGGAAGAAGAAAGGGTACCTCAATCGGCTGGTTGTTTGGGCATCTGGGCATTGTACCTTTTCCAAGGGGATTTACTGTGTACTGTGGTAGTTATCCGTTGGGTACCTTACCTTACCTTTTACCTTTGGGGGCGGTTTGCTGAGGTGGATGAGGTGGATGAAGTCTGGACCGAAATCGCTGGCTGCACCGGCCCGGCTTGCTTCTTGGCCTCAGATCTACGCTCTTGGGACCTGGAAGGCACTCCCAGTCTGCAAGGCAGGAGATGACCTGAATGCAAGTGGACTCGTCTTTCCTTCCCTTGGATACTGAGTAAGGTAGGGTGCAAAACCTTAAGGGAAGGAGACTCCTGTGGTTTCTTTTTACTGGATTCGTAATAACTCATGAGAAGTGCCCGCCGCGTCTCGACAACCTCCTTCCTTTGTACATCAGTGGAAGTCACCATGGTCCACGGCACCTTCCAATGTTTTCTTGACGCCAATGAATGAGAGAGGAAGGGGCTGGAGACTACGGAGCACGGAGGGGCAAGAGGTTGTCGTGGAAGGTGGAGCCCATCTGCAGCCTACCTTAGGTGCGTGCCTGCCAACCCAAGGTACCTTAAGGTGGTAAGGAACATACCATCGGCAAGACCCCTCCTTTCCCCGACTTCCAAGATGCACTTGAGCCATGAGGCCCTCCTCACCCTTATTAGCTAAGCACGCCTGTCCATCATGAGGGATCGACCGGTTTGATGAGAAATTGATGAGGTGAGAGCTGAAAACCCTGCTTCCGGTCTTTCCGCAACCAGTCACTGCCATTTACTCACGGTTACTGATGTTATTGCTAACTGTCACTCGATTTGGTACAAGTATGTCGTTACTTAGTTCATGTCCCTCCCTTTTGACGTCCATCAACACCACGAACGCTTTTGGTCATCAACACTTATGTGCCCCCTATTCAGCCTCCAATCCGGCACTTGGACGACTCATCGCTGCTATGTCTCATGTCTCATCCAATCCACCATGACCCCCGCGGCACCCCTTGCCGTCTATTGCTTCCTGGTCCCGAACCAACGCGGCAAGTGCCTCCCAAAGCTCCCGACGGGCATCTCCCACCTAAATCCATGAATCTTGCGCCTAGAGCTTCATGCGCACGACATCTCGCAACACCCCGTCCTGCAAAGCTATGATGCCTCACGGGCTTGAGCGCCTGTTGCGCCCAATGTATTCGTACCGCTCTCTGCTACTGCCTTAGTCTAAGACTCCATGGTGGTACTACCAAAGATGGAGCCCGCCTTCGCATCTACCCTATGCCTATGCCTATGCCTATGCTGCTCCATGTGTCAATCGCTAACGCCATGCGATGCGACTCAACAACGGATCCTCTCCAGACAATCGTCTTTCATCATTCATGCTCGCGAGCCTCCGACCATGTCATCGACCTACAGGAGGAGTGCTACCTAGGTTGGTTGAATTACACGGCACGTCTCAGCCCGGGTTTGTTTCCCTGCAGGCACTCTAGGTACGACTAACAAAGGGACGCCAAGGTGGTTTGCATGTGCTGGCTGGGCTAGACACTGCAAAACGTCATGTACAAATTGCAATATACACACGATATCTGAACAATTTGTGCTCTATGCTGCGTAGGCTTGCCTGTGGCGGTGTCCAGCGGATTGACTCGACGCAAGAGTCCGAGACAGGCACGCGCTGGGAAAACGGCTTCGTTCCGTGGGGTGCCTCACGAGCTGCCGCCATGGAGGCACCCTCTACATCTCCAAAAAGCCCCGACCGCCTGCCGCCTTATCTCTGTAACCAATGCCATGACACTGTCGCGTGATTCTCTGAGACACCCATCCCACCATGTTGGCGGCGGTGAGCACCTACATCAAAACGCCAACTGCACCCCACGTCGCACAATGGCTGGCGCTTCAGCCGCCAACATCTTCTCATCGATGCCATTCCCGCATCTGCCATGGTGGTCTACTTACCGCAAGAGTGTCCTAGTCATGTAATCTCGAGATATTGGATGGCCGAGACTGGCCTGAAATAGCATGCGTGAAGCGAGAGGAAGTTGGATCCAACAGAGAAGTCAGATATGGAGGTTTTCAAAGCCTCGAATACGTCGAGGCGAGGTCAGGAGCCATATCGCTAGCACGTCAACTCATAACTTGAAGTGAGTACAACTAACTAAATGTACTCATGTCGCGAGTACCTTACCAGTCATGCATGGAATGACAGTGTCATACGGGGCCCAGGTTATATCTCAAAAGCGCACACCCAAGGAAATCTTTCCTCGGCTTAAGCTAGGTTTGTGATTTACAGGACAATTACGGATAGTTTAGGCCATAAGGAGTTTACGACAGATTCAACGATTGCAAGCTCTTGGCAGAGCGGGAGTCGCATCCTATCCATGTCACTGGTTTGGCTCTGTTACGTCAGCAGTGTCGGCGATGAGGAAGCCGACCACCGACTGAGGAAGCCCAGGTCCAATAGGCGGGCGGGAAGAAGTCCAAGCTCCAGTACCTGAAGTTCCCAGTGGAAAAGTTCACGATTTCGTCAATCGTATCCATTGCGACGTCCTGGCTCTAGTGCAAGTCATCCCTATGGCTGGTGGCCGCAATACCAAGTCTTCAGGCCCTGTGCCTCCGTCGCGAACGCTGGTTCTCGACAACGGCGCGTCGACCATCAAAGCAGGCTTCGTTTCCGACGACCACACTGACGAGCCTCGAGTAATACCAAACTGCATCGCCAGAGACAGGGCGAGAAAGGTCTACGTCGCATCCGACCTCGAAAAATGCCATGATTTTGGCGAAGTTCAATTCCGGCGACCGGTAGAAAAGGGGTACATTGTCAATTGGGAAGCTCAAAAGGAGATTTGGGACCACGAGTTCTTCGACGACAAGGCGCCGCAAAAGTGCGATCCTTCCGAGACCAGACTGCTCCTTGCAGAACAACCCAATTCGTTGCCTATTCTACAGGCCAACTGTGATCAGGTAATCTTTGAGGAATATCAATTTGCCAGTTATTATCGTGGTATTGGTATGTGGTTTTAGCCTCTTGCACGTCTCGTCGACTTAGCTGACCTTTATCTTCCTAGGGGCCTCCTTCAACGCGTACCACGATATCCAAGGTATCCTTCAGACCCCCCGAGACCCGAATTCGGTGCCCCAAATTCCGGCTGAAGCTGTACTGCTCATCGACTCTGGCTACTCCAACACTATTGTCATGCCTCTTCTCAACGGCAAGCCCCTTCACTCCGCTGTTCGAAGACTGGACGTC